CRCTGAAGGGCACACATGAGAAATCAAAAGCTTGCAGGCAAATAAATAGCATATCCATAACACCGAGATTGGCCTTTGTACAATCGCGCGCCCTGCTGACTCTGGTCGTTCCTTCAAATTGATGTCTCATGCACAGCTACCTCGAGGGACCGATTTCATTTTCATATATGTGCTGGATCTTTATATGAGAGCTCTCCCTTGAAGTGTATTAATCAAATAACGCTGCYGATTTCACTTTACAGAAGAAAAGGCACAGGTCATTGCTTCTTCGAAGAGTTTTGCGAGTCTTAAACAGGAACTTGTGTTTTGTCTTGCATGAACTGCGAACACTGTTCCAGCATCAAATTATCGGAGCAGCAGGAGCATTTCAGGGTCTAAATCTGCATTCAAAGACTCGGYTCCTGCACAACTAGAGGTGTAATTTTCTGGCATGACTAAAGCAAAGTTTCTGATGAGTCATCTTTTAGTTTGAAACCGAGCATAATGAGCAAATGTGACAAAGTGTGTGCAGAGGCAGACTGGCACTTTGCGTATTCTGGGAAAGTTCAGACTGGCCATTTATTACACAGCATGCCTGCAAACCTAATTAGGCTTTCGAGTTAACCAGCCTGCCTCGTGCTCTCTGCTGGACCTGAATCAAAATTTGCCAAGACCCAAGACCCACCTCCACCCTAATTCTGATTGGCTAGTAGGCTGATCTGTTGTGGATGAAAGTGAAAGCTGTGCCTCTATTAGATCTAGAGACAAGCCTGTTCATTCTCTGGGTGAAYCTTTTTTTAGGTACACCAGAGATTGGCACATTGTCTTGAAGGCAAGGTTTACGTAAACTGGGCGTCCCAAACCTAAGGACCGCCCTCTAGATAAAAGCCTGCACGTTGCAATCTTATTGTTAGCATTACATTATGTACACATCCAAAAYAGGGTTCCATTTAATTAATTTTTTATGTAAAGACCAGCAGAGTTAATTCTGTTTATAACAATTTCGTTTAAAATAACATGCTTTTATTTTGATAAYTTCCTCTAAAACYGGAAGTATGGTACGGTGACGTAGCTTGACACAAAAAGGTARACGAAGGTGAAACTTAATAGAGTTAACAACAACACGGAGAAAGGCTCACGGAAAAGGTTGAAAGCCAACTCAAGTTTAGCTTCAGTCAATAGGAGAACAAGGCTCGTAATTAATTTTATTATATTTGAGTTGTTTGAAATGTTTATGGTTATGCTAATGGGGAAAAGCGTTCAGTGTAATGAGCTATGCATATCTATGGATGGTGAAAACGTTTTTAAGTATTTTTATTTGTTTTGTCTAGCTCTTACGTTGGTTGATGACACGGATGGCTTCAATAAATCATTTAACCATCAGTACTGGCCTTCTTGATATTGACTGGATGCTACAGTAAGAGCTTGTTTGTTTGTTTTATTGTTCTCTCTTCTGCGTGAACATCGTCAGTGTTGGACAAAATTTCCATAAGTAGTTTAAGTTGTTTAAAATGTTAGTGYGACAGAGCCTTTAGCGCTCACGGTGCGCTTTCCTAGATTTTTTTCCCTCTATTTTATATTTAAAATAATTATAGAAATTRGTGCAACTTGATTAAATGTTAAACYGCCTGCYAYAGACAACCCGGTTACTAGCCATTKTCACAGAGTTAGGTGGCAGGCCTATTTAGGAGAAACTCCTGGGTTTGTTTCAGGGCCCCTGGGTGTTTGTGTGTGCTTTTTTTTTTTCATGTCAGCATGCACGGAAACCAGAACTGTGTTGTAAACCTGAAATCTGCTTAAGCCTAGGCTCTCTGTGTAAAAATGAGACAAGCTAAAGCACAAGGGGCATAAATCTTTTCAACCCTGAGTCACTGACATCTCCACCYCCCTTGGAGATACGACAGAATATCTTAATTACGCCACTTAACATCACATTGGCGAGTCCCGGGTGAGCCCAAGCAAGCATATAATTCATTGTACTAAGCATCCACACCAGCCAAATACATAAACCTTCAAGGATGCATACTCAAGTGCTGGGAAGACGGCAAGCTGGAACTTTCAAAAGCCTTTTTTYCCCCCCTTCAGAAGCCAGAACAGAGGGTATTTGCTGAATTAGTGGACAGGAGTCAAGTCACCTATGGAGCTGGTCTTCATGATTCTGTGCAAACAAATTCTGTTCCCGGTTCTAATCCTTCCACTGAGGCGCTGGGGTCTGTCCACTGATTAAAAGACACTGAGCACCCCCCACCCCACCTTGTGTGAAGTTCCCTTATTACAGTAAGCTCAAACCATTGTCTGGTAGGTCAATCTGCACAAACGTTACGTTCAGAAGATCTCCCGATAAGAATAAAAAAAGCGGTTGATTGGTGATGTAACACTACTGCAACACATGGTAAGTGAGAAGAAATGGATGAGTATTCAAAGTTTAAAGCTTAAGAGCAGGGGTGTCACTTTGTTCAACCTCGGATTTTATTTTTTCATGAATTCCCATAAGAAATCTGAATACTTGCTCTACATTATTTCCACCAGAAATACATTCAGTGGTTCAAAGTTGGGACCACTCTTGGGGTCTATTAAATTTCATTAGAAAGAGACAAAACAAGCAATTAACTAATAAAAACTAACAGATGCCTTTGGGTAAATGGTTTATTAGAGCTGAGGTCACAGGTCTCTGAAATGCTTATTTTATGATAAACAGTCTGAGGACCACATGTTAGACCAATGGTTCCCAAAGGTTTTCCTCTTCTGATCTATGAATTTAGATTTATCTACTACTTATAAATCAGCTTTTGTAATATTATTACGATGCACAATATAAATCAGAAGGAAATCTGTGCCAATAAACTGTCCGGCCGATTTATCGGCACAGATTTCCTTAATTTTGTGAGATCTGCAAATAGGATCAGTGGAAAASATCAATTTCTCATCTACCTCCACAAGTCTGAAAATGTCAAACTAAAACAGGTTTCTATTGTTTTAAGGGTATTGTTCAATGTTTTTCAATAAAWTTTTATTGAAACACTGAAGGTATATTCTGATCTTATAAMACCTGAGTGTCAGTTATATAAAAAAAGAAAAAAAGGTATTGTMCAAAATCAGAATCGGCAGGTCTGACTTTTTAAAGATCAGTGATCAGCCAGAAAACTGCAATCGTTGCACCACTACTAAAAACCCTAATAAACAAAGGTTTATTACACTTTTTTCCAGATATGGAGCTCTCTTTTTAAAAAAATCAATTTCTGTCACTGAGTGTCTATATGTGTCTGTGTGTATATACTGACAATATTTATGAATGTAGGTATTTATGTATGTATATTTTTTATATATGTATGGGTATGTGTATATTTTTATGTATGCCCTCCATGTATT